TCCTCCTCCTCCTCCTCCTCCTCCTCCTCCCTTCGCCCGAGAGAGAGAGAGAGAGAGAGGGCGGCGGGCCCAGGGGTGGGGAAGGCAAAGGTGAGCCTTCTTGTCCGCGGGCTCTGACGACCTCGGGCCTTCCAGAAACATTAAACCAGAGAAACGCCCCGATCATTGGAGGCCTGGGAATGGGCCAACACCATCACAGGGGGTAGCCTCCACATGGAGAAGATGACCCTAGATTTCGGTGTTGGTGGCAATATTTCGGTCCCCTTGGAAGCCAGAATCTTACCACCATCACCGAGATCGGGATCTTCCTCCCTCGGCAGATGCACGCCGCCGATGTTGGTGTTGGTGTCAATAACCAGGCCTGCGACAAGGGTCCATCCGACGCGGTTTTTCACCCTGGATCGAGTCTCGGGGGCCCCAGGGCCAGAAAGAGGCCCCCGAGGAGCCGGAAACGGGGAGAAGACTCCCCGAACCTCGAAGCTCGAGCCTCGAACTTCCCCCCGAAGCTCGAAGCTCGAAGCTCGAGCCTCGTACTTCCCCCCCCACTGGGCGCGCCACCGGTCGTTCTCCTCCACTCGTCCATTGCACGAGGCCAAGACGCGGATCAACTCGGGTGGGGATACAGCCCCAGACATGATCGCGTCGTAAAAATCAGGACGGAAAATGTTAGGCCATTTTCTGCCTCGGGGGGCCCTCGCCAGGCCTCGGGACCTTCAAAAAACGACTCAGGACGAAAAAGACGGTCCCAGGGAAAGGATTGGGACTTCCAGGAACGCCGTCCTCAAAAAATCAGGACGTCGCATGTCTGTGGTCGGGGCGTTGACCCAAGGAACCCTACATCAGGAACGAACTCCCTTTTTCGGAGAGAACGAACGGGGGGGATAGCAAAGGCGAGGGTAGAGAATCAGCTCACGTGGCTGATTTCCCCAGCGCCTCCCGGCGCCGGGAGGCGCCCATATATCGAGGAATGGGCCCGGCGGCGGGGCCGAAACTAGCTGGATGCAGCAGTTTTCGCAACACTCCCTTTCCCTATCCCCGCGTTCGCTCGGCCCGACCTTTTTCTTTCCCACGAATGAGAGATCGATGTCCCATGGAAAACCTCAGGAAAACCTGAGGGGAAACTGTAAAACAATCAAGGAAACCCAAGCCCCTCCCCAACGAAAAGGGTTCCTTCTTCGGCGCCCCGACGGTAACTCGGGAATCTCTGAGATCTGGCGATTTGGGAGGATGTCTCGGGCGCAGCGGCCTTCTCCGAGCGTTCTAGAACGCTCTGAGAGCGGTCTGGAACGCTCTGGAAAGGACTTCTCCTCGTCGTGGCCCCGTCCGAGTCCTAGACATGCGACGTCCTGATTTCTGATTTTTTCAATGCGGCCCTTTCCCGGGAAGTCCCTGAAAGTCCTCACCCTTTCCCCGGAGCCGGTTTTTCATCCGGAGTCGCTTTTTGACGGTCCCGAGGCCCGGCGAGGGCCCCCCGAGGCCGAAAAAATACAAAAACCTCCCGTCCTGATTTTTTCAACGACGCGATAATGTCTGGGATCCCTCCTCCCTGCCCCCTCGCTCGCCGCCGATCTTGAGCAGAGCAGGCGGGGGGGGGGGGGTTCTGGCTCGGGGCCTTGCCGGGCGGAGGGGGAAAGATGGTCGCGACGACGAGGGGGGGAACGATGACGGGGCGGGGTGGATCAAGGAGCGCGTTTCTTCATGTTCGGTGATAGTGGGCATTATAGGGGGGGGGCCAGGGGGGGGCATAATGCAATGCCTCCCCCCCGCCGTGCGCATGGCGGCAGTGCCCGGAGCGCACTGGGGAGCTCCTCCTCCTCCTCCTCCTCCTCCTCCTCCTCCTCCTCCTCCTCCTCCTCCTCCTCCTCCTCCTCCTCTTTGCCGCCCCCGAGTAGGCGGGACAGGCCCGACTTGACGATGCAGCGGCCCGCGCGCCCAGGCTCGGCCCCCGCCTGCGCACCAAGACGGGCCCGTGGCGGAGGGGCGCTGGGGGTCTTCCCGGCAGGCGCATCGCACCGAACCGCCCAGGCCTGCGATCCCAAAGTCAAGAAGACGGGGACCCTCTCGACAGGATGAGAACGTGGTATCACTGACATGCTAACATCCACGTAGGCTCCGTCATGTGTCATGATAACTCATGATAATTCACCCCAGCAAACCGAGGGATACCCAAACATGAGCACGTAATGAGTAGTCCACCGATTATGCATGTCCTCGGTCTCCGCGTCAGGATTCCCATGCGACGTCCCTCGTCCTGCGTGAGGCCACGTCTTCGCCATGCTATTCGGGCTGGGGGTTCGTCATCCGTGGCGAGGCCCGTCCCTCGCCGCCCCCAGGGCCCGCGAAGGGGCCCCAGGGGCCCGAACGGGAGGGAGCGCCTCGGGGCCCACTGCCCACCAGACCCGGCTGCTCCGTGGCGGCGCGCAGCACCGGGGAGCGCGAGCGAGGAGACAGGCGGAAGGGCGAACCGGAATAGCAGCAACGGCAGCACCAGGAGCAAGAGCGGGAGCGTGGCGCGGAGGCGCGAGGCAGGGGAGCGGGCAGCTGTCTCTCCGAGGCGCCTGGATGCGTCTCCTTGGAGCCGCGCGCAGACGGGGGGTAGAGGGGGGGGAGGCTTCATTGAAGGAGGCTGCTTCTCAGAGGGCGCCGGCCCTAAATCCATAGACAAAGCCCGCACCTTCTGAGTGGCAGGGGTGCTGCCAAGAAGCCATCCCCCCTCCCCCTAATCCAGAAGCCCTGATAATGGGGACGAGAGGTCGCTTCAAAGCAGTCCCCTGGGACTGCTTTGAACGCTACAAGGCAGTCTTCAAAGCAGTCCCCTGGGACTGCTTTGAACGCTTACCTCGCAAGGCGACATGAGGGGCAGCAGCTGCAGGATGATGATGGTGATGGCGATCGATGAGGAAGATGGCGATGACGTCGATGATGATTTGCCAACTTGTCTCGACGAAGCGCTGTCCGCAACTGCGGCCACAAACCTTCTGCTGCACTTGTCCGCAACTGCGGCCGCAAACCTTCTGCTGCACTTGCCCGCAACTGCGGCCATTACCAACGTGTCGTTTCGTAGGTCCAGGGAGCGCGGTCGTTCCACGGCCCCGCGTGGCCCGCGTTCTGCGCCTGGTCGGGCATGCCCGCCCACATGCGATTAGGGGGCGAACCCTCCGTGGCATTGTCCGCAACTGCGGCGCGATTATCATCCCACCACTTCTGCTCATCAGCGCGCCATCCTGCCCAGCTCGACCACTCATCAGCGCGCCATCCCGCCCTCCACTCCCTCGCGGGATCCGCCGCCCTCCGCGCGCCGCTTCCGCTGGCGCCAGAGGACCCAGCCGCAACTGCGGCATAAGAGGGGGTCGGAACACGACCTAGAGGCTCAAACCCCCAAACCGGGCCGTGAGATACCAGCGGCGGCTCAGCGCCCTCTCCCGCAACTGCGGTGTCTGAGTCGCCTCCGTTTTTTTCTGCCCTTCTGGCCGCCCTTGCAAGCGCCTTTCTCTCGCTTCCGCTTCTTTTCCTTTTCATTCCTCTCAGCGAACTTCTCTGGTGATCTGCGACCCGTGTTGCGGGTGAAAGCCACCAGGGGGAAGTGCGCTCCGTTTCGCGCCTTGCCGACGGAG